TCCATAGTGTGAGTTTAATGAATATTTGTTAGACCATACATTATTCACCCAGTGATTGCTAAGGAAATAGTAATGGGTGGAAAGAGTACAGTAAGGATAATTAGAGAATTAGTTCACTGGAATATCACTAAACAAGTGGCATGTTTTTTGATCACACAGAGGCAATAAGAGAAATGAGCATTTTTTTTTAGGTTTTATCATTCAATTTGATCTTGACAAGCTCCAGGATTAATATATAATCATGCTGATTTCTCAAACATGACAACGAATAGTGTATTTATAGTATGAATTACACTTAAATACAAGGTAGAGTATAATCAGACAGGTATGGGTAAGGCCACAAAGCACTTTATTTTACAGAAAACAGTAAGCTAGAGATGCCCTGGATGTGACTTTAAGAACTACAATGCTGGCAGTATGGTCAGCTATTTTATTCATTCACTTCATTCTGCTACTCAGTTGAGATTTCCATGTAAGTGCCATGGTAGGCATGCTGGGAACACAGAAAGAGAGTCACCATGTCTCTTTCTTTCCTCAGAGTCCAAGTTTTTGGGTTTTTAAAGAAAATAGTTTTTATTTGATTTAATTTATTTACAAAGTTTGAATATATTGTTTTTCACAAAAGATCCTTTCCATTTCCTTCACCCCACCTGCCTATCAAATTGTGGAACCCTATGATTAACAACCTACCCCACCCACCCATCCACACCCCTCTATTTCCAACCCTCCACCCCCCACCTTGGGTCAGAGTCCAAGTTTTGAGGAATAAGACAAAGAGGTCTACACACCATTAGAAAACATAGAACTTACTCAGCATCTGAGACATCTCTGTCAGTGCAGATAACCACTGCAAAGGACACCTTTCGGACAGCTGTGCTCACCAGAGTGGAGAGAACTAGGAGTCGAGGGAAAGTGGTTGGGCAGAAGCATCACCATGAGTTTCCATTCTCTCAGTAACAGGAGAGTTGAGGTTCCTTATAAAACAAGTTGCCATTTTCATTTCTTTGTTCAAGTGGTACCGGTGGACCTCTTTCTGAAGAGGGGGGAAAAATATCGATGGTGCTCTGAAGAAATAAGAGTGAACTTGGACAATTGGCAAAAGATATTGAGACGTTTTCCTCAGAACAGATCGACTTTTTCTTCAGAAAGAGATCGACTGGTGCCACTTGAACAAAGAAGGGCCAATGGCCCCTTGCTACCTGAGACATCTTCAACACTACTGATACATTTATTACCAAAGCCTTTGAGAAAAATGCCTTGATTTAATAGTACTCTGATCTCTAAATAAAGTACTTGTATAAAACATGAAAATGTGTACAAAACTGTGAAAATTATTGACACATCAACTGAAAAATCTGATTCTTCTTGAAATAATGCCAACACATCAAAATGTTTGAATAGCTCAACAGTGATACACCAGCTTAACAACTAGAAACTCCCAGGATTACAGATATTTGGGAGTAGAGAAAAACGAGAGAAGTGAAAATAAAACAGAATTTTTTTTTTTTTTTTAAATCTTACTAGTTAACAAAATTCCCCTCAGGAAATTTAGGGACTTTAAAATTCCCAACTCTGGCTTCTCTTCTAAACTTAATTTCTTTACCACATTACTGTATTCTGAATCACACCAAAAGAGAATGCCAATAGTTAGGTGCTAATTGTGGAAATGAAAGCTATTTTAGTAAGTTTACTTGCTTTTGTAAGAAAAGATTACACTTATGTTTGATGAATTTCCCCCTCCCCACCCCGACTCCAGGAATGAAGATGAAAATATACCATTGAGTTGTCCACATTTGATGCAAACACTGGTGTGGCTCAATGATTGACTGGGGAAGGACCCAAAGTGTGTATCAGAGGGAAAAATTCCTCGTGTTGTTGCTGTTAGGTACCATTGAGTCAAGTTCAACTCATAGCGACCCTATGAACAACAGATCTGAACCCTGTCCTACCTATCCTCATTGTCTCTGACACACTTGAACTCATTGCTGCCATTATTGTGTCAATTCATCTTGTTGAAGGTATTCCTCTCTCTCACCAGCCTGCCTTTCCAAGCATAAAGTCCCTTTCCAAGGAAGATCCTTGCCTAACAACATGCCCAAAATATGTGAACTGAAGCTTTATTGTCTTTGTCTCCTAGAAGCACTCTAGCTGCACTTCCTCCAAAATATATCTATTAGTTCTTTTGGCAGTCCATGGGATATTCAATACTCTTCTTCAACACTACATCTCAAAGGAATCGATTCTTCTTCTGACATCCTTATTCATTTTCCAGCCCTCCTTGGATGCATAGCAAGCGATGGAAAAGACCATGGCCTGAATCAGGCATACCTTAGTCTTCAAACTGGTATCATTGCTCCTCAGAACTTTGGCAAATTCCCTGAAAGCAGACTCCTGAGCCACCTGCAACTCATAGCGACCTTTTCTATGTACAGTAGCTCTGAACCCTGCCCTGTCCTGAGCCAGTCTCACTAACTCTGACACACCTAATTCCATGGCTCCTCATTAGGGGATGAAAATTGTGACTTTGACTTCATTAGAACTTTAGTTCCTTCAGGTAGGTTTTAGAAAGGAGTCATTAAGTGGGCAGCAGAAGTCATCTGGCACTGTTTGATCAATACAAGTTACTCAATGAGAATGCCTTTTATCCTCTGTCTACACAGAAGGTGAACACTGAATCTAGGGTCAATGAGTATTCTGACACAACAAGATCAAGAAAGCAATATCACTGACACTGTACATGAAGTCACTAGGCAGGAAAAGCCCTTTGTCTTGGTTAGCTATGTATTTTTTTTCCTTGCTGCATTAATGATTGAGTTCACCGGTTTTCTTATTCATCTCCTTTGACTTTCCAGAAGGTGTTTCCTTATAAATAAGAAAAGTGAGTAGGCCAATGAGTCTCAAATCTTTTGGTTTCAAGACTCCTTTAACTTTGCAGAAATAATGGAGAACCTCAAAGTATTTTTGTTAGTTTTACCATATTAGAAATGAAAATTCAGAAAGGAGAAGCAAAGATGGGAGCCTTGGTAGGATGGAGGGGCCAGTCCCAGACCTCTTCAGCGACACTTCAGCTATATACTAGTTGCTACTGAGTATACTCAAACTCAGGGAGCTATGGTGACCTTGACCTACTTCTAACTGTGCTTCTCTGGCAATTAAAATCCATCGATAGTTCTGAGGGAGAAAGGTGGGCAATATCCTCTTGTTCAATTTATGTTGCTGTGATGTGCCATCTAGTTGACTACGACTCATAGAAAACCTTGGACAATGGAACTGAACCTTCCTCTCCCCTGTGCTATTCTCATCATGTCTGATACACTTGAGCTCATTGTTATAATAATTGTGTCAACCCATCTTGCTGAAGGTCTTCTTCTCTTATAAGGGTCAACTGTGAGTTGGTTCTGACTCACTGGAAGTGAGAGAAAAAAAGAGAGATAGAGTAGATCCAATTCATGGTTATCACAATTAGGGTGAAGTAGAACTATGGTCTTAAAAGGTTTTCCAAGGCTAATTTCTTAGAAGTAGATTGCCAAGCCTTTCTTTCAAGGTACGTACAGTAGACTCCATCTTTTAGGTTGTATTGTTGTGTGCTGTAGAGTGGGACTGAACCATAGCTGACCCATATGTGCATTTTCAGATGTGGTAAATTGCGCAGAAAGAGCATCCATCCATCTGGAGCAGCTTCTAATCATGAGGCCACCAGAGCTCTCCTTTACATTAACTTGGTTAGTTCCATTGCCCCGACCAAGAGACTCCAACTTCTTACCTGCATATTTCCTCATTTATCTGAGGAAGTAAGATGCCACTTTGACAAGAATTTGATATGCCAAAGGCAAGCTGTTCAAATCCACCAGCTGCCCCAAGCTAGAAAAATGGACAATCTCCTGTTACAGCCTTTGAAAACCTACTGGAGGGTCAGTTAGGAGTCCTTTCCGATTCAATTTCCGACTCAACAATGTGTAACATCAACATAACCACAAATATTTAAATAATTATTCCATGACGGTGGATATTAAATTCGTATTAAATTGTCCAGCTTCATTTGTTAACTATCGATTTTACCAGTGCATGAAGACTCGGCCATTATAATTTCTACTACTTCTCTGTTATCTTTTCTACAATGCCTTTTAAGTTTCCAAGAACTATCAATCTGCATTTCATTATTTAATTTCACTGCAATCCTCTGGCGGTGGGAGGGGCAGTATACCTTGTTTTAGACCCATATTACGCACTAACAAATCAAGGTGCAGAGAAGTGATGTGAGTTATCAATGCGATCCAGTGGTTCAACCAAGCTAAAATTAATTTCCTCAATTTCCCCAGCCATACATAGTTCCTGCCTCTTTTGACGCTTGCAATTCTGTAGGGTAAGTTTAATATTTTCAAACCCAGATTTATGTAATTTTCAACCTATTCTCCTAGTGCGAGTGTGTCCAAAGTGTCGCAGAACCTCGAAAACACTCCTATTTGGCTCTGGACGTGTGACGTGAAGGTGAGCGGGTGAGGGTTTAGGAGTGTTGCTGGGCAGGAACTGGAGAAGCCATATAATAAACCCAACAGATAACCGGCCGGCTGCGCCACAATAGCGTGAAAGAAAGAAATCTCTGCTCCACGTCCCAACGGAAGAGATGTGGTGAGCACGGGATTCAGATTCCAAAGGTTCCTGATATGAAAGGCGCCCGCACACAAAGGAACCGTGAAATTAGGTTCCGGCAGCACGATGCTTAGAGTCAGAGCCGGGGATTCCCCTCCAGCTCTGGTGGAAACGCCGGGTTCACCCGGTCACTACGCGGGTCCTTTTATTCACCAGTGCGGCCCGCACAGCCCTCACCGGGCACGCCCGAGACTCCTGAGGGAAACTACAAGTCCCATGAAGCGTTGGGGCGCGGACGGTGGCGATGACGCCTTCTCTGATTGGCCGCGCGAGGCGGGGCGCGCAGGATTTCTCCCAGAGGTGGGGCGGGGCCCGGGGCGCGGGGCGGGGCAAGCGGTGGCGGCTTGGCGGGCACGCCCCCTCGCCCGCGGCCCCCTCCCAGCCTCTCTCTGCCGCCTCCTCTCGCTCCCCGGTCAGAAGGCCGGAGCGAGAAGATGGCGAAGACGTACGATTATCTGTTCAAGCTGCTGTTGATCGGCGATTCAGGGGTGGGCAAGACCTGCCTCCTATTCCGCTTCTCCGAGGACGCCTTTAACACCACCTTTATCTCCACCATCGGTGAGGGAGGGACCGAGGTCTGGGACTGGGGGCTAAGAAATGGGGGGCGGGAGCTAGGGGCCAAGGTAGAGGCGGGGATCTGGGCGTCCCGGGGAGAGGATCTGGGGGCAGCAGTGGGGTGAGGGCAGTGAGAGAGGGCGAACGCGTGGAAGAGAGGGACGGGCGAGGACATGGGACTTGGGGAAGAGGAGGAACTTGGGGGCAAAGGACGGGAAACGGGAACCCGAGGAACAAGGACTAGGAGATATTTGGGGAAATAAGAGGATTTGAGAGGCTGACAGGAAGGGGTCCTAGAGGACAAAGTGAAGAGACCCAAGAAATCTCTTGAGGAAGAGGGAAGAGGGTAGTGGGTGTGCAAATGGATTAAAAGACAGGAAAGAGGAAGGAAATATGAAGGGGAAAATGAAGGGTTGGGGAAAATGGGAGGGACGTGAAGTAGAGGGACAGAGGACACAAGGGACAAGAGAGATGAGAATCAGGCAGTGGAGAGGGAATGGAATGAGTGGAGTGAGGGATCTGGAGGTGAGGAGGAGAGGGAACTGTCAGTGGGTTTGCACGGAGATGTCATGGGAGGAGGCAGAAGAAAATTGCAGGTGGGGACGAGTCCAGGGGACCAGAGGGTGGACTGAGGATCCCGGGTGGAGAAAGTAAAGGAGATCCCGGTTGGAAATAGAAAGGGAAAGGAGAACAGGGTATGTAGTAAAGAGCGGTTGAGCAAAGAGGGCCGAAAAGGAAAGAGGGAGGAAATGTGAAACAGTGCAGAGTGGGACTTTTCCTCAGTCACTAGGAACACTGGTTACCAATTTGTGCTTCCTCTGGATCACGTGCAGGAGAAAGAGCAAAGAGTGACTAATGATGGAATAATGTCTGTAGAAAATGAAGTTGACTGAGTGTTAATGGATGTTAAGGGAATTGATTTTGGGGAATGGTGTGGCCAGGAAACTATTCACCTCTTTGCCATCCTCTCCTGAGAAGCCACACTTCTCAGTTTTTCAGTACTTGAACTTAAATGTTTAAGAACTTCTCCGGCAACAAATTGATCTTACCTGCTCTCTGCCTCCTTGTATGTTTTGCTTTGGCTCTAATTATTACTTGTTAAAAGAATTCCAGCATGCAGTATTACATTCTCCTCCTCTCCCCTCCCCCATTACTTCCAATTGATTTAAGAGGGGTTTTTTCTGATCTTGATTGGGGGAGCTGTCCCTCCAGCTTTTGTGGTGGAAACCATTGTATTCCGGTAAAGAAGACCTTGAATTTCCCATAAACTGAAGAACACACTGAAGCTGATTTTAAGCAGCCTATAGAAGTGACCCTAACATAATTTCCCTCTCTAAATAGCTGCAGTTAATTAAGCATCTTAAGAATCTCAGCTTTTGGTTGTCTGGGCAATGTTTGTGGCCTCTGCTAGTAGCTCTTTCAGGCCCCCTTCCAGTGGTTCCTATAATGCATTTTACTATGCACTTCTTGGTTGGGGAATATTAGTTATTTGGTAGTAAGTGTGTTTCAGATACTTGTTTGTTTAAAGCGTAATTTATCCCCCCCCAAGAATATTTAGATATAGAATACACTGTCAGTATTAGATTGTGTTTTGTTGCTTGTTTTGACCTCCTCGATTTGGATTGGGCGATCAGAAGTGATGTCTGGGATTAGGGAAGTTTGAGCTGCAAGTTCTTGGCAGTCAGTCTTGAGTGGGACTTTTTCTTCTCTGAGGATGCAGATTTTAAATGTCATCTCTCAAGTATATTCCTAAGAGATTTGGTGGGTGCTGGTATAGGAACTACACAACACGCCTCTTAAATGGGTTTTACAAACAGTGTCACCTCATCATGTGCTATTTTCCTGTGTATGCTGTGTGAGTTTTATGTGTGGGCGTGTTATATGGGAAAACATGGACAAAGGCATTAATTTTAAAATGCAAAACCACTCCTTTATGTGTGACCATTCCAGAGTATTCTCTTGGCCTAAGAGTGGATGAATCACTGGAGCTATTTATCATGTGTTTCCTGGGGACCTTTTGTTTGTTTGCAATACTTCTATTAGTTTTCTCTCTCTTTTTGCCTTAATTAATGTCCTTCATTTCCTGTATGAATGTCTACTACTTTTTAACACAGCATAACATAGCTTTTATCTTTCATTCTGAAGGATTCAAATATTTCTTTGAATTGGATTTTTAAAAAAATTCTTGAAGTGTGAGTTTTGTGGAGCTTTATAGTTGTTAAGACGTGGAAGCTGATGTCTTGAAACAGTTTAGAATAGAAGAGAGATGTTAAATAGGGTAACTTTCATGCAAGATCTTGGCCTTTATGTTTTCTGTGGGGTGGATGTGGTAAGAAGAGCTTTGCCTTCATTTGGCCCAGAGGAGGGGAAATCCCAACCCTCTTACTAGCCTCAAAGCTCAGAAAGGAAGTGGTAGCACATTACCTTCAAACAGCACAAGAATTTATATACCTGAAACTTAATGTTTTTCAGTTGTAATTACGCTGGGAAAATAAGGCAGATATCAACTCTCTCCTAGTGAAAAGCCTCACAGACTCTTCATTGCCTACCAGTAGAGACTTGGTGTGTTAATGTCTCTAGCAGCAATATGTATTCCTCTCACCTCCAAGTGATCCCAAATTATCGAGGTGTGAGTTGATGATCCATCTCCTCTCAAGTCATAGTTAATTTCGCCAATACCTACATGTAGAATTCCTTGGGCTTTTCTGACTAGGTTTTGACAAGATCTCCCACAGCACTGCTGACAGAACTTGATAAGGTCTACGTCACCGGAAAGATCCATTTCTTAACGCTTTGGTTTGTGTATGTTTTGGTAGATAGGTATGCGGTTCTGCTTCCTCCCATGAAAATGCATTTTAAGCCTTAATTGTGTTTTGTCAAAGTTTAAAAAGTTTTAAAAGGAACACCACCTATCATCTTAGGCAATGTTTTAATAGGAGTCCTGCCATGAAGGCAGGAAGGAGACATTAGGCATTTTGGTTCTAGATGCAGCTGTCTCATCGATACTTTCTTCTTTTTCACTTCTCCAAGGTTTTGGCTGCCTTTTTCTCACATCTGCATCCCCTCATTGTCTTTCATGGTCATTGTCTTTCTGTTCTTAAGGCTTGCTGTGGGATAGATTTTCTTTCATCTGGCTTATGGAGGATCTTCAAGTCCATTATTCAGATAATATTTGATACCACGGAGTACTTCTCCATGGGAAAAGGATAGGTAATCTCCTCCCACGCAATTAACTGCCTCTGAAAACCTGCTGGACGGTCAGCTATGGGTCGGTTCCAACTCAGTGATACACAGCAACAACAGCATGGAATATTGAAGCCCCAGACCCACTGACAGCTGTCTAGATGATTACGATTCATTGGGTTTCCAAGGCTTAAAATCTTTAGGCAAAGAGATTGCTTATCTTTCTTTTTTGGGGGCAGCGGGTGGATGTGAACCTGCTGACCTTTGTTTGGCAGCCCAATACATTATGCACTAGGCTACTAGTGAGCCTTTGAGTTCAGGTGTTTGAAATGGGAAAAAGTGTTTTTAAGTAAAAAACCCTCCAACCACCAAAACCTAGTCAAAATTCACGTTTAATTCTGTCTGTAAAGTGTTAACATTAAGAGAATTAGGAGAAGGCACTTCTGAGAAGGAAGGCTGTCTATTTTCCATGAGAATGGGGTGTTTTTCTGTGTTGACATGCAGGTGAATTGACGTCTTGGAATGGCCCAATCAAGGAGCTGGTAGAAGTAAAGACGAAAATCCAGCTCTGTCTTCTAATGAGACAATTGAATCTTCTCTTTGTCTTCTCTCCCTGTCCCTGCCCCCTTCTTCCTGTTAGGGTATTTCCTGGATGGTTTCATTATTTAGTGTAGTCACATCCACCTACCCCAATTCTGTAAGAAAGAAAATTAAGGTTATGTTGATGTCCTCAGAGTCACACAGATGGCTGTAGCAGAACCTCTGGAGAAACCCCAAATCTAAAACAGTGTTACTTTTCAAAGCACTGAGCTGTTGCTATTTCTGATCAGCTTGCTCCTGTCCATAAGTTCAAGTCAGTTCTCTTAGCAGAAAATTAGATTTTGTACACATGTGAAGAAAGTTAAAGGGTTCCTACTTGATGAGTTGTGTCTGTTTGGGGAACTAATAAATACTTATGCACTGACTTCAAGTCCTATAAGAGCTCGCACTGGGATGACTGAACACGTAGCTGTCCTTTGCCCTTTCTTTCTGCGTCTATAATTTCAGGTTAGGAGATCAAAGTGCATTCTGCTTATTAAAATCCCTTCTATGTGCAGAATAGTGAATGAAATCCTAGCAGCATACTGGTTGTTGTTGAAGGCTAGTCTCATCAAAAGGGGTTCTGCTGGTGCAGTGACCAAGTATTAGCCAGAAGTCAGAGCCACTCCACTGGAGGAAGGCCCTATGATCTGCTCCTGTAAAGTTTATAGCCTAGGAGACACTGTGGATCAGTCCCATGGGGTCACCCTGAGTCAGTGTTGACGACACTCACCAGCACCAACAACAAAGATTTCATCACATCAGTGTTCATTCTAGAATGTTGCTGCATCTTTTTTTTTTTTTTTAGGGTCACTTTACTTAAAATCAAAAGTTGACCAACTGTAGCCCTTGCGCCAGATGTGTTTTTGTACAGTCCACAAGCCAAGAATGGTTTCTACATTTTTAAAGAGTTAAAAAAAAAGGAAAGTAACACCCCCATACCCTCACAAAGAAAGTAAAGAGCACTGCGTGACAGAGGCCATATGTGACCTGTACAACCTAAAAATGTTTGCTAACAGGCGTTTTACAGGAAGAGTTGGCTGACCCTTGCTTCAAATGAAAAACTGTTTTGGGTTGGTAGCAATTCAAAGCTTTTATCAAGATTTATTGACTGCAAAACAAACTTTGTCATATTTACATTTTTATCCAAGATGATATCAACATTTGGCTGAACATAATCCAGATATGTAGAACGAGTTGACTTTAATTTTCACAGTTATATTCCTTGGTTTCAATTTTTC